TTTTTTCCCCCGGGGAGACCTTCCCCCCCCCCCCCCCCCGTTCAATCACATTTTTCTATTATATTGAATGCGGAAAACAATTAAAATATTTATAAAACAATGTATTTAAAGAAGCAACTTTTTCTTGATTTCACTGTCGCAAATTGGTCAATTGCGCCATCAAGATCTGTTTTTTCCAATGTTTTTCTTTCAACGCTTAGAAGGGCAAGATCGCTGAGACGAACTTGCCCCGCTGACGCTCGCAAATGCGACAAAATAAGTAGGCTATCAGATGACACTCTGCTGAGCCGCTGCACCGATCTTAATCGTGTGACCGATGTATTACCCTTGTTTACTTATTATGATATAACGTTATAAGCCTCATTTTGACGCCCCTGTACATTGGCGCCCGGGGACATATGTACCCCATGTCTCCTTTCGTTACGCCCCTGACGTCGTTATTTATGACTTCTAAAGTTTTTTTGTTTTTTTTAAAGCACAAATTATAACAACTATTTGCAACAGATATCTAAGTCTTTTCTTTTAATGATTTTTTTTTATTTTTTTTCTTTCAAAGAAATATAGAAATGTTGAAGTGAATTTATTTTTACCCCCCCCCCCCCCCACCCCCTTGTCAACAAATGTCAAACTTTTTCAGGCCCCATTTTGGTATCTAATTAATGGACATCCCTTTAAATACTTTAAACAATAAATGGCTTAGTCTTTAAGTTGTTATTATTATTATGTCATGTGTAATTTTAGGATACGCAATATAGTTAATATACAACCACCCAGGCCTTCAAAACTGCACTAAAAACATATCTTTTTAAATTATACTACCCTGAGTGATTCCCCTCTGACCGATAAACGATCTTGCTGGCTGCCGTCCATGGTTTGCCTTGTAATAGTTATGTGGTGGGGTGGGTGAATAGGGCCTATACATTGCTGTTCTTTATTTCATAAATGTATTTTATTTTAATGTCATGATTATATTATGTTTCTTTTGATAAAATTTTTATGTACAGCGCGGTGAGCCCAGCCCTAGGCTGGGGTACCGCGCTATATAAGACCTCTTAAATAACTCGGGTACCTATAGCCACTTCGTATAATTAATGCATAATTAGGAAGGCATCTAAAGAAGTCAATTAAATTTGGAGAAATCAAAAGAGATGGTGGCGGTGGAGGGGGTGGGGTTGACACCATGTGTTTACTGCGCGACACCAACCTTAGCGACGCAGATGACATTTTAATAATCGCCAGTGCCTCGGTAATAATCAGCTTAAAAAGAAAACGTTAACAACAGATATAAATAATAAATTATTTTGTTTGGATTTTTAAAAAATCTAAATTTGTTGTCACTAAAAATAATACGTTTAATTAAATAGTTACTAGTATTTTTAGCATAATTAGTCATTACGACAGAAGATATTTAAGATTAACATGTCCTTTAAAAGCAACTAAAAAAAACTACTCTGAAAGAAACGAATGAAATGTTGATGAGTTGATGCGATAATGAACACTAGTTGTGACACTAGTTTCTTTCTCGGGAAAGGTGTTATTATACGATTCTGTGGTTAGGCCTACCTGTTTATTATAATGCTACTAATTAATAAAAGCAATTACCCATTTTGAAGAAGAAAAAACCGAAAAAAACGTTAGATAAATTGGCTAATCTAAGTCTGAAATATAATAATTCATTTTCTATTATTATTTCATAATTTAATGACTTAAAACTTACAGTAACTTACAGTTATTATAGTAATAGTTACATTATAGTTAGTTATAGAGTTGTAGTCTGTAGTTATTATAATTATAGACAACACTCGAAATAGTAATTTAATAGTGTAATAATAGTATAGTCGTAATAGTATAGTAGTAGTAGGTATGAGATGAGTGTGATGATAGTAGGCTATTATATTATAATATATACTATAATAGACTATATTAGACTTAGACTATATAGTCAATACTATAATATAGTATATAGACAATATAGTTATGAGTTATGATGATAGTGATAGTATTTTTTGATAGGCTAGACACTAGACAGACTGCTATGCTTATTTTATACTAAGATTAAGATGGGCATCGAATATTATATTTTTAATTATGTAATTATATTTCAATTGTCAATACCGGTAATAGTTTAGTCTAGTAGACTCACTGTGTATAGACTATAGGCTACTATAAATAAAAATTATGATAAAAACTAAACCCCACCCCACTGCAAAATCAAAATAGAGAATATTTCTTTAAATTTTAAATTAAAATTATAAAATTATTAAATAAAGTTGAGGTTGATAAAGCAAATTAAGTTTAGCAGTAAAATAGCTGGTTAGTAAAGTATTTTGATTTAGATTTTAATATTTAATAATATTATTACCAAGTCTTTCAAACTCAACAGTCATTAATTAATTATGCAATAATTAACCTTCATACAAATATTAAATTACTAAAAAAAAACCTAAGTAAGTGAGCTGATGGTTTGCACTAATTCCACTAGATCTAAGATGTCACATCACTCACATTCTATTAGACTTGACTTTAAAATGCAAATAAAAAATTATAAAACTTTGTCATTTTGTAAATATTTTGCTGGATATATTAGGCCTACTAATAACATAAGTCTATTATGATTATATTATATGAGCATGACTTCTTGTTTATTGATTTGTCTGAAACTGAAGAAAGTGTCTATGAATATAAATAAAATATCATGAATTATCTGATTACCGGAAATTTGATTGAAAGAAATTTGGTCGGCGGTAAATTTATCGGACCAAATTTCCGTTCGATCAATTTACCGTCTACGAAATTTCTTTCGATCAAATTTCTGGATACGGAATTATCTAAGAAAGATGACTTTAGTTCCTTAAAATAACTTACGAGGGTATGACATGAAAATAAAATAATGATTAATTTGGTGATTTTGGACTTTTAAGTGGCTCACTAATTGTAGGATGAGTAGGCTATTACCAATACTGTCTATAGCAGGCCTGCACAACGTACAGCCCGCTGGCTGCCAGCACCCACTTTGCAACCTGCGAAGTAACAAAATATTCTTTATTCTTATTGTTTTCTTAATAGCTTTCCCCACTGTCCTATTTTCTTTTGGCCCGCACAAGTTTTTCATAAAGTATTACAGCCCACCTTACATTTTGAGTTGTGCAGGCCTGGTCTATAGGCATATGCAAACTAAAATGACTTCACGGGCCACTTTGATTGCGAGTCAACTCTTTGTGGGCTCGATATCATTGAACCTAATAAAAAAAAACAATGTTCAGTTATTTATTTATTCTTATGTTACAAAAATACAAAACCGAAAACAAAATTACCAGATAGCTCACCTTCTCTTGCCGCCACACACTTAAAAAACTGTTTAGATTTAAATGGAAACATAACTCTTTAATACATATATACAGTTCTTGATTGTGGATAAAAAGGTGCCCATCGTCAATTGCCACTTTGGTAGGGTGGGGAAGCAGAAATCAGTTTTCCCACCTAAGTCTCCAGCCCCTCCCCCACTTTTGTGCATTTTTGCACATACCTGAATTAGTAGTTTTGCATCATTCTACACTTAACAGGAAAACAACAGAAGAAATTTTATTGGAAATTTAGTGTCCCTTGACCTATCATTTAATTGTAGTAGTTATTAAGAAGTAATATTGTTTAAGATTTGAGAGTACTAATATTAATCTAATTTTTTTTTAATCAGTCCAAAAGGTGTGCTGGTATACCAAAATGGCACATACCATCACAAACAAAGTGATTTACATATATTTTAAATGTGTGATTATACCAAGAATCAAAATAATCACTTTTTGTATGAAGAAATATGTTTATTAGGGATACATTTGGCAGACATGAATATTTAACTTGGCCCACATGTTGCTCTCGCAAGTGACATAAAATTACTCTTGAATGGGAGCAATACTGCTGTGAGAGAGTAGACAGTTTTAATCAGTTTGCATCACATCATTCCTTGCATCCCTTTTAGCACGTTGTGAACATAGAAGCTCTTGTTGAATGATACCGGTACAATGAAATGCAGATAGAAGATTATTATTGTCATCCGACTCTATCTTAAGAAAGGAAAAAAACTGTATTTATTCCTATAATGTATCAATTGATAGGATAAAGACTTTGCTGCAAGACTGACATTGATTAATAAAATGTAAGATGCTGGATTTCATTGTGATGGAAACTTCATTTAAAAAGGAAAAGATTTTTCAGAATAAATTTGTGAAAATGAACACTTCAGATGGCCTCACTTTTTTGTCTGAAGACCACCTGGTAATATATTGCCAATAGCAAGCCTATAATATACTATACTATAATATAGGCCTAAAATATATTAGTAAACGTTTAAACTGGTATACCATATCAAACATATTGTTTAAAATTATTAAATGATTTTAATTAGAATGATTGAATTTTAATGATGTAATTTTTAAAAATTTAAATGTAATAAGAATTTACTATTTAATTACTAAACTAGTACTAATAAGTAGTGGTGTAGTTTTTCCAGGGTGCACCACAGAGCCACTCAGAAACTTTGTATGTAACAAAAATGTGAAGCAGTACCTCACATAATGAAAGACATTTTTTTTTCTGTAATAATTTAATTGTTTTTTGTATATTTAAACAAAATCCTAATGTAATACAATGACTGCTTCGTTATATAAACTAATTAAATTACATTAAATTTTTTTTTTTAAATTTAACAGGAATAAACTGAGGGGTTTTTGAAATACATTATGGAAATGAATAACAGTATTCCACTGTCATCACCTTATGACAAACTCAAAGGATTCTGTGATGACACTATATGGGTAAGTGTGTTTTCCCACTTCTTTCATTATAAAAAAAAAAACAATGTTAAGTTCATATATAAAAAGGGCTTCTTAACAGCATTATAACTCCCATCCCCAGTGACTGACCTAACTGAAGAGCTAATTGTGGCATTTTTGTATGATATGTCCAAAAAATAATTTTGTTTGGTTATTTAATTACATCCTTAATTAACATTTAATTAATAGTCTTCTGACACGTGAATTTAAATATAATTCCATGTATTGTCATGAATACAGGATCTCCAGTTAACGTGGTACAACAGTTGGCCCCAATTTACAGAATGTTTCCAGCACACAGTACTTGTGTGGGTGCCCTGTGGCTGGTTATGGCTTTCAGCCCCAATCTATATGTGGTACTTGGCAAGTTTACCCACACATCATACTGGAAAGAACTTTACCAAACTTTTTACTATCAAACTGGTAGGAAAGTGAATAGATGACTTTTTTTTGTTTTAGATTTGATGCAGCCATGTCATGCAACATTATTTAAACAATGAGAGCTATAATTAATGAAAATAAAAATCAATAGTTTCAATGTAAGTAATTAAGTGTCATAGAACTTAAGTTTGAGAAGTAAAAAAAAATTTTTTTAACACACCCTTTCTATAATTATTGCAATATATAAATATATTTTTATTTTTAAAAAAAGAATATATTAAAGAAAACCAAACGATTTCCTTGTGTACTGATGAATATTGGATAAAATGCATGGATAGTATGGTTTTAATAATGGACTGAATTGGAATTTTTTAAAAGATAATTAATGCAATACGTGATGTCTTTATGTTATCATTTCCTACCAGAGTTGTTTGTGTCTATTGATCCTGATCTCAGTTCTCAACATTCCCCACATCATCGAGAGAAAAGGTGTGGGTGAAAACCTACTAAAAGCTGATGTTTTTGAGCCTGTTGTTGTCTCCACTACATTGGTAATATATATTTTTGTTGACGCTCTTTGCTTTAAATATGCCTATTATGTATAATGGAAAACTTATAGAACATTGTTTATGATTTGTTATTGCTACCACCTACATATTAAATATAGGTAAAATTATTTTAAACAGTGCTTTTACATGTGTTTAAATACAGTTGCAGAAAACCTATGCCAACACTTGATATATGATTCTCTCCATAAATAAGCATGTTACTCAACACAACGGACCCTATAATGTTGTTTGGTTGTATACAATATTTTAAATATAAAGCATGCAGAACAGTGCTTGAGTTAGGAGACCACTGTCATGGGGGGCACAGATGTCATTGGACAAATACTTTGTCATCCATTTTTAAAACAATGATTTGATGTTTTTGAAAATGTTGATATTCCCAAAGCATTGTTTTAGAGGATATCTTAATTACAATCTGCAGGTTCTTGCTTTAATATTTCTGACGTTGGAGAAAAGAAAAGGTTTTGTCACATCAGGAGTTCTCTTTATCTTCTGGCTGCTTTTGATCATCTCAAACATAGTTAACTTCTATAGCCTCATTAAACTTGAGGTAATTACAATCTTTAGTTTACTCATTGTAACGGTATTAAATTAACATTAAGATGTTTCTTATAATGAAAACTGTTTATAAAAAAACTAGAAAACTAAAATGTCTTTCAAATATAATGCTTAAAATTAAGTGGATACACTTTGTACTGTAGTATAATTTTATTTCAATCTTTTCTTTCAGGTGTATCTTAAAGATGAATATTTATTTGCAATGTTCTACTTACAATTTTTGTTTTACTTGGTTGAATTTCTTCTACACTGTTTTGTTGAGGATATTGAAGTACCATATAAGACCACAAAGGTAATTCCAACCAACAGAATATTTTGTGAGCAATGTAAGCAATTTAGTCAAATTTTTCAAAATATTTTGTATTTCTGTAAAAAATATAGTTCAGAACATATTTGACTAATAACATTTTGAGTTTGCCTTGTTCCAAACTTAGCTATTTTACATTTCTAATCTAGAAACCTAGTCCAGAGCTTTCAGCTTCGATCCCATCTCGTCTTTCATTTTTTTGGCTTGACAGGTTAGTTACAAAAATCTTATTGAATAATCTGATTTGAATAATCTCATTTGAATCTGAGATTACATTTTTTGCCAGACTTTGTGAATATAATAAAAAATATATTTCCCTTGGCTTTTCTGATCACATAGTCCTTAATGTTTTTTATAGTTATATTTTTCTTAATGAAATATTTGGGATACTAAAAAACAATGTATGTCAATTATTATATCGATCATTATACCAGAGGCTCTTCTACTGCTGGTTTTATATTTTGGAAATGATAAGTTGATAAAAACTGGCTTTGATTGGTTTAATTATCTTATCTTTAGGCTTATGAGGCAAGGTTATAAATCACCCTTAACTGAGGATGCTCTTCCAGATCTACACCCCAGAGATAAATGTAAGACAGTGGTTCCTAGATTCTTTAAATATTGGAAGCCTGCAGTAACATTAACCAAATTAAAGTAAGTCCACATATTATTTATTTTAATCTTCTAGATTAGTGAAAAAAAATGCCTTTCATATATTTAACTCACTTTGTGATGTAATTATTGATCTATGTACTGACTTATATTAGAAGTAATTAATTAGTGATTTATTTTTCAATTTCAAATTGTTATTTTTTAAGGGCTAAGAAAATATCCAAATCATCTCATGTGGATCTTCTTGCCACAGAGGAAACACCTCTGACTCTGGAAGCATCAACGACATCATACACAGACTGTGTGACAAGGTCTAAGAAGAAATTCAATGGGCCGTCGCTGGTTTTTATTCTCATCAAAACATTTTGGCGAGATTACCTGTTGAGCCTGGTCTGGAAATTCTTTGATGATTTCTTATTATTGACCAGCCCACTTATTTTGGGGTAAGGATTCCTGACCAGCCCACTTATTTTAGGGTGAAAGACTCATAACCAGCCCACTTTTACTAGGGTGAGGACTCATAACCAGCCCACTTTTACTAGGGTAAGAACTCCTGACCAGCCCACTTACATTAGGTTAAGGACTCCTGACCAGCTCACTTATATCAGAGTAAGCTCCTGAGTTGAATGCTCGCCAGCACCCACTTTGCGGCCCGCAAAGTAATGAAATAGTCTTTATTATTATTATTTCCTTAATAGCTTTCTCCCCGTCCTATTTTCTTTTTGCCGGCACAAGTTTTTCATAAAGTATAACGGCCCGTGTTACATTTTGAATTGTGCAGGCTTGTCTTAAATCGTTAGTTTCACATATCAAATGTGTTTATAATATATTATTGTATCTATTTATTTTATTGGACATAAAAGGACAGCTCTCTAAAAAGATCTAAAATCCAAATAAAAATGCATCCAAACAAAATATTTTATTTTGTACTTTTAATGCTGTAACTGGGTAACTGCTGGAGTAAGCTACAAACTAAGTATAAAGTATATTTCATATGGAAGTTATTCTTCCTAAACATCAAATTTGGGAGTTTTGTAGGATATGATTACTTATGGTTTTTTCTCATATATACATTTCTGCCTTTCTACTCAATGCAATAATTATGATTGATGATTATTTTTCAAATGTTTTATCTCAGTCCCTAAATGTGTTCTTTTTTTTTCATGAAGAGAGGTTAAATGTTAATACCAAAGATTTTATTTTTTTACTCTATTTAGACAGCTTATAGAATATGTTCAGCAGCAGACATCAGAGAAATGGCACGGTTACGTCTTGGCAGTTGCACTCTTCTGTTCATCATGTTTACATTCCCTGTTCTTTCATCAGTTGTTTCATCGCTCTACATCTCTAGGCCTGCGGGTCAGGGCGGCGATTATATCAGGAGTCTTCAGGAAGGTATTTTCATTTAATTTACCTGGAAGCCACTTCACATAATATTTTATCCCCCTTGATTTAATTAGTGTACAGGCATTCCAGTGCTTAACTTATTGGACGCCATTTCACCCAGTGGCTTACCTCCCCTGATTTAATTAGTGTACAGGCATTCCAGTGCGTGGCTGTGATTCTTAGGTGGTCATTGGAACCCCCACATCTAACCTCCTCTACAGCTAAGTGAATTTTACTGTTCAACATAAAGCTCCCGATTTCCCTTGCTCTCTGATAGTGGCACAAGTGCTTGTTCCCTTACACCTATACATGCGTGTGTGTAAATATATAAAGACCTTATCTCTAATATGTCCGATTTGTCATATTACTGTAATCTTTTGTTTATTAATTAGAGTTATCCCTATTAAAAAATGTGTCAAACATTTGATTCACATTTATACAAATTAAATATTAATTTTCGAAGAGGCCCATTTTATCGACCATAACACCACAGAAGCATGCATAACGGTTGGAGATTGGCCGTTATAACAGTTTTTGGGTTAAGGGCACGATTCTGTAAAATATTATACCCTCATATAGTATTAATATCTTGTTCTGTGATCGTGGTTTATATAGTTTATGTATTGGTTATGATTAATTTATGTTACTGCTCAGGCATTGACCATGGACAGCATGGCCCGCAAAGATTCGACCACAGGAGAAGTTGTCAATCTGATGTCTGTGGATGCATCAAGATTTGAGTCAGTCATGAGCTATCTGTGGACCGTGTGGTCAAGTCCGTTACAGATAATAGTCTCACTCTACTTGCTCTATGATATGATTGGTAAGCTGTCATTGATATAGTTTTAGAATAAATCTGGTACATTGTCATTTTCCCGCTGAATGATACGACAGGCTAATTCTTCATCTTTTGTTTTTGACATGCTAGTCAATTATTTTCTGTATTACATATCAAAGGGGTCATTTAAGTGTTTCAAGAGATAAAATGTCTTTTCAATTGAATTGTCAGATAATGGCTTAACTACTCTATATTTACTATATGACTTCAGTGAGGCATTGTTGACTTAATGTATAGCATAATGGGTAAAGGTTTAAAAAAAAACATCCATCATGTTCTATGTTTTACTGGCTAAGGGATGGCAAACGCACTCAAAACATACACCGAATTCTATACACCATTGGTAAAACACCAACAAATTCTCAGTAAACTTTGTATTAGACCTTGAAATTTGGACTTGAAACCTCTCTTATGCCCTGGTCCGGGGGTCACCAAACTTTTTTCACACTGACAAAATGATGAGCGTGGGCCACATAATCATACTGTACAATACTTGCAAGCCAGAATGAAAGCTCTTGGAATAAAGATGAAAAACTAAGTTTAGTGTTTCAAGCAAATCATGGGGGAGTGGCGTGCAATGCACAAAAAACAAAGACAACCAACATATTTATTTACTAAAAAAGTTATTAAAGAAGGCGACGTTAACAAAAAGATAGTTACATCAAACCTAATGTGCACATATCCGAATGTCACAAACTAAGCAGCAAAAAAGGTTATTGAGATTTGTTTGGCTTTCAAGATATCGCAAATGTTTGGTTTGGAATTGCTGCATTCAATCAAGAGAATTGCTTTCAAATGTTCATCCGTCAATCTCGTTGGATGTGTTGACTTCACATGCTTCATTTTTGGAAATGTTTGCTCACAGACATAAGTTGTTCCAAACACTGATGCCATGCCAGCAGCAAATTTCGTCAGTTTTGGAAAGTCAACATCAGGTAAGCAGTGGTAAAATTCAGCAAGTTTTCCTTCTCTGTGCTTCTATTTCAACAAGTCTTGCTTGCAAATTAATGAGCTCCAACTGTAGTTCATCTGGCACATCATCAAGGCTGCAATCAAACGGATTCTGAAACAGATGAATGTCACTCTCAATTCTGTCAAGATCTGAAAATCTCTCCAAAAAATGCTTCTTCAAGTATAATCATTTTTTGGGAAAATCGAGATTGGCATCTTCAGTTTGTAGCGCAAAACTGTTTGAAACAGTGAAAATGAGAAAAGTTTTCTCCTTCCAATTGTGCTTCAAACAATGACAGCTTTCTCCGAAATCCTTTGATGATTCTGTAGAGATGACGGATGAGTTGATCCATTCCCTGAAGTTTTAAGTTCAGTTCATTTATGTGGGATGTGATGGCGACCAAAAATGACAACTTTGACAACCAGGTAGGATCTGACAGCCAGGTAGGATCTGACAGCCGGGTAGGATCTGACAGCTGTGGATCACCTTTGACAGCCAGGTAGGATCTGACAGCTGTGGATCACCTTTGAGAGCAAGGTAGGATCTGACAGCTGTGGATCACCTTTGACAGCCAGGTAGGATCTGACAGCTGTGGATAACCTTTGACAGCCAGGTAGGATCTGACAGCTTTGGATCATCTTTGACAGCCAGGTAGGATCTGACAGCTGTGGATCACCTTTGTCAGCCAGGTAGGAGCTGACAGCTGTGGATCACCTTTGAGAGCAAGGTAGGATCTGACAGCTGTGGATCACCTTTGACAGCCAGGTAGGATCTGACAGCTGTGGATCACCTTTGACAGCCAGGTAGGATCTGACAGCTTTGGATCATCTTTGACAGCCAGGTAGGATCTGACAGCTGTGGATCACCTTTGACAGCCAGGTAGGATCTGACAGCTGTGGATCACCTTTGACAGCCAGGTAGGATCTGACAGCTGTGGATCACTTTTGACAGCCAGGAAAGATATGACAACTGGTGATCAGCTCTATCTTTTTCAGTGAGAAAAAGATCAATTTCGTTTTAGAGCTTGTAAAAATGAAATAGGGCTTTACCGCTGCTGAGCCACCTCATGTGAAAAGGGAAGTCACAGAATTCAGAATCAATTTATTTTGCAAAAAAAAAAGTGACAGCAGATTGCAATATAAATGTCGGTCATTCAATTTTAGAAGTTACCTTTTTTTTTTGCCAGCATAACTTGATCCCACTAGGCCCTGCGATGCGATTAGTTATTGTATTCATATTATATACTATATGTTTATTTATTTTACTAATAAGATACTGTATTGTACGATTATTAGACGATATTGTACGATTTTAGGAGTTTGAGGGTAAACAGGTCTGCAATAAACAAGAAAATCTAGAGTAATTGAAAATGGTTAATTTAAGGCGCATATTAGCCAGAAGGTCTCGGAACACGCGTGAAGATGTAGTATTCTAAACATAATATTTAAATTGGATCACAAATGTCTCGTGTTCAATAGGTTTTATCAAGCAAATCCAAGTACCGTCGGAGGGCCTGATGAACTGACGTTGCGGTCCGAAGTTTAGTGACCCCTGCCCTGGTCAATAAAATGTGAACCAAACTGCTTTGTCATTTTTTTTTACTTCCACAGCTCTTAAGTTTGAGGTCATTAGGTAAAGTTTATTTATTATGATGTTGTTGCTATATTTGATCAGGAGTTTCAATATTCGCTGGTGTTGCTTTCCTGATAGCCATTATAACAGCTAATTTCCTGGTGTCATCAAAACTGGGCTCCCTTCAGACTGAACTGATGACCTTCAAAGATGAGAGAATGAAGGTCATGAATGAATTACTCAGTGGCATCAAGGTGACTACAAATATAAGATCACTCACAACCTAACTTATGTATTCCAAAATGAGATCAGATAATTATTGCAAATTGGGAGACATATAAATTAAATAAAATCAGAGTTTGTTCAAATTGTGATGTGTCCAGTTTTTGGGCCCGGTAAAAAAATGTATTCATATTTTTCTGGTTGTTTGATATGAAAGGTATTTACTAGTCATATTTTGTGACAAAATACAAGTACATTTATTGTTGTTAATTATCATGTTAATTATCAGTTTATAACTAATACAGTTTGCCATGCCATCAGAACCTAATAACAGTAGAATTTATTGAGAAAAGCTTTTTTTACCTGACTGAGCTTCTTGAAATAGAAAAAGTAAAAGCTAATTTAAAAAAATGTAAATCCCTTAACTCCAGCCACGCGTTTGCAGCGTCGTATCAGTTTTATATAAGTGGCCAATGTTTGCTCTCAAGTAATCTGAGCCTTTGTAAAAAAACTGAAAGTTGTTGAAATTGCCAATGGCAAAAGAAATGTTACCGTGTCATTCAAACTTTTCTCAAATGTGAGTTCTCTTATAAAGGAGACTTGATTAAAATATTTCAGCCAGTTGTAAGCTATGATTTAAATATTTCAGCCAATAGTAAGCTATGATTAAAATATTTCAGCCAGTTGTAAGCTATGATTAAAATATTTCAGCCAGTTGTAAGCTAAGATTTAAATATTTCAGACAATAGTAAGCTATGATTAAAATATTTCAGCCAATTGTAAGCTATGGTTAAAATATTTCAGCCAATTGTAAGCTATGATTAAAATATTTCAGCCAATTGTAGGTTATGTTGACTAGACAGTTCTCCTTTGATCCATCCATTTTGACTTTCCCCCACAGATTGTTAAACTGTTTGCCTGGGAGCTGAGCTTTGAACACAGGATACTTGAAATCAGAAACAAAGAACTTCTCAAATTGAGGCAGTCAGCTCTTATAGGATCAGTGCTGAGTTTATCTTGGAGTGTAGCACCTTTTGTGGTAGGTCATGTCATGGGTTTGGCACCTTTTGTGGTAGGTCATGTCATGGGTTTGGCACCTTTTGTGGTAGGTCATGTCATGTGTTTGGCACCTTTTGTGGTAGGCCATATCTTGGGATGTGGCACCTTTTGTCGTAGGTCATGTTATGGGCTTGGCACCTTTTGTGGTAGGTCATATCATGGGTTTGGCACAATTTGTGGTAGGCCATATCTTGGAATGTGGCACAATTTGTGGTAGGCCATATCTTGGATTGTGGCACAATTTGTGGTAAGCCATGTCTTGGAATGTGGCACCTTTCGTGGTAGGCCATGCCATGGGTTTGGCACCTTTTTTTTTTTTAACTTAACTATTTTGCTGATTGTGGTTTTATCGTTTAATTGGTTGTAAGGGATTTTCTGGATTGTTTATTATCGTCCGTCTTTTTTCTCATGATGGGTGTATGAGAATTTTAGGATAGTTAAATATGGTCAATATCAAATTATTTATGAATGAATGAAATTGTAGAACAAGGTATGTTGAAGCTTGAATCAACAGACAGGACAGTAAGATTTTTGACACTTCGTCTTAGAGCTTCAATATACCTTGTCCTACTATGACATTTACACGGCTTGAATGCAGTCCTTCAATTATTATCTGTTATGAATGAAGCTGTATCCACTGAAGCATGTTTGTGATCATCTCAGTGAATGTGTAATAAGAAGAAATTCTGTTTCTTACTTATTTTTTTTTAAAGTTGTTTCTCTGTTGAGTAAAATTAAAAATCTTTTTTTAATGTGAAAAACTGCATAGAATATTCTCTGGGGTTTGCTTATGCCTTTTTGCATATTTCAAGGTCACATATTTTTAAGCATTTTTTGTGGTCACTAGGTACCCAAAAAAATGCTACGAAATGACAGAACACCATAAACTATAAGCTTTCAATGCAAGCTGCCATTCTTTTTTCACGAATTCACGAATTCTTTCCATCAGCGCGAGGACTGAAAGATATAAAAATTATTTTGTTCCCCAATCTGTACGAATTTACCAACGTACTCCCTCTGAAGTCACACATCTTAATGAGAACTTATAAGTCCCAGATTTTGCTAAGAGAACTCACCGAATGGCTGTTTGAAAAAATTTATTATAAATGTCTTGTGTTCAAATGTTTTATTTATGTGCTGAAAATGTATAATGCAATCATAAAACATTTCCATTTGTTTGGATCAATAAAATAATCTTATCTTATTTTAAAATGTGATATGAGCAAGAAATGCAAGAGGCAATCTGATTAGCTGCTACAAAGAACAGCCAGCTAATCTCAAGGCTTGTATTATTAGGCCAATGGCTTATCTGCATTTTGCCATTTGATTCTGTGCTCATAGATCAGCCCAGCTGTGTTAATATTTAACATTTCTGGTATTGTTTTTTAATCTTCTAGACTAGGGCCTCTGCGATCTACAATAACTATTTCATCACTCAATGTACCTGGGGAAAAAAATGTAATCCCTATAAAAGACTTATGAGCCAACCACCCCACCCCTGAAACATTTGTAAAGAAGAATTATAAAATGTATAAAGTCTCAGGTTCACCTCAGAAATATAAATATAAAAATCACAAAATTTACAGCCCAGTATGCTATATGCACAGCATTAATGCACAGCCATAATGCACAGCCAGCTTGCAGTATAATATTATTGCCAAGGTAAATTTTCTAGCCATTATTTTACTATGTGAATCTTGAAAATTTCTTGGTTATCTAAATGACCTTAATGATCATCTGTGTTCCTATATATCCAGGTGTCCTTGCTGTCCTTCATGACATATGTCTTCATATCAGAGGACCACTACTTAGATCCAAAAACTGCATTTGTTGCCATAGCCTTGTTTGACATATTACGTTTCGCCATCAACATGGCTCCCATGATTGTAACTGACTTGATCAAGGTAAAAATTTTCTTAAATTTTAACCAACTGCCCTCACTAAAGACCTTGGCAAAAAGTTCAAAATATTGGAAAAAAAAATAACTGTAGAATTATTTGAAAACGAACAGCACATCTTATACAGAAGCATATGGGTTACTTGAGTCTTGGAAAGAGAGAAGCTAACAAGCAGCTCATTTTATACAGTAGCCTAGGGGTTAATTGAAAGCCTTGGAAAGAGAGTGTCTTGCTCTTCATTACTAATATATACTAATACATCCCATTCACTTAATTTATCAAACAAACAAGTCACAATACTTAATAGTTTTGTTTCTTTGTGAGAAGAAAGTTCATTACTTACTTATAAATGCATTATTGCAATTGCAAAGCCCAATCATAAAATTTTCATCCATACAATTCAATTTTGAAAGACTTTTAAACTCACACATTTTGTGGATACAACAAACATCACAAAAGAATGTTTGCTTCTTTAAACCCAAGATTTGTTTCATTTCAGACTTCAATCTCAGCCCGGAGAATTGAAAGTTTCTTATATCACGATGACCTTGACCCTAATAATGTGTGTTACAAGGATGCCTCAGGTAATTTTTGGAGATTATGTGATTGAAGTGTTGAAAATGTATTAATAGGCCTAGTTTGAGTTTTCTTGTAAAGATTCTGATAATTTCTTTGTCTTTAAGTTTGTATTACAGCTGTCTAAATAGCTCATATTGTTGTCATCATGTTTTGTTATTTTCTTCATTTATTTAATGTAATTGTGGTTTTTTTTTATATCCCAAGCAAGATATTTTAAAAAGGCCATTATGTTTCATCCCAGCTCATTTAGTGAATTATTCATTTTTTATTTCAAGACCACGCAATTTCAATCAAAAATGGAGTTTTCAGGTGGACCCCTGACTTGCCGTCAACACTGAAAAAGTAGGTGGCATTTGTTTATTATTATATAACAATGTTTATTCAATAAATACTGATAACGTTTTCCCCCTGCCACAATAGGCAACTTGCCTGCCTCTTGACCAAGAAGTAAGCAGGGTAAAGTTCATCACAGGTGTTATGTACCATTATAAGGTTTAGAGAATTGAATCGGTTATTTCAAAATATGGCTAGTTGATAAACAGTACACAACAAAGGGACAATAACATTGATTAAAATACATTAATAAAGAACGATATCCAAACTAGGGCTAATTACAATTTATTAAAGCTAAGCTTAAATTATGAAATAAAAAAATTAAGCTATTCGCTTACAGTAAAGCAATGAACTGGCTCCGGTACAATGCTGGGAAGGTGCACAGACAAACAATAAATAGCATTTACAAAACTACTGTCAGCGCCGTATGTCAGTCTATTTGTCTCACTGTCGCCTTGCTTAATGGCAATGTCCGACTCTTACTCTCGCAATCTGTCTCTCCCCGTTGATCAGCTTATTTATAGTCTCACATAGAGACTTATTCCAGAAGAGGATCGAGACTAGCGCTCTCTCTGTGTCCTTAGAGCTTTCTTGTAAGTTCTATCAAAATCGACAAGATGCTGTGTTTACATTTAATCAAGGTCAAGGGAGACAATTTACAATTAGGCCACATGCCGTGTCACCCAACTTGGGGGTCACCCAAAGTTAACGCACGAGAAACACACATCTACCATAACACAGGTCATTCTATGCAGGTGTCCACGGGAGGAGGTAAATTTTCAGTTTAAAAATCTTAATGTGGAAAACAGGAAGTCAACTTGACTTGGGACTAAAAATCTTTGCAAGAGCAGCTGTAGTCTTGGATTAAATAAAAGTCTGGGATGTTAAAAAAATACAAAAGGCCACTTAGCTTATAACATTTTGAATACGATGATATGCAAAAAAAAAGTTTGTTTGGTTGTTATGAAATAATGATATTTATTTTAGTTTTAATTTTTAAAAATAATAATTTTTAAATTTTTTTTTTTTGAATTGTTGATGAATGTGTTGATTGACCGAAACCATTAGTAAATGTTTGAAATTGTTCAGCATCAACATCACCATTGACGATGGAAATTTGGTAGCTGTTGTGGGAACAGTCGGAAGTGGCAAGTCATCATTAATTTCAGCCATTCTCGGAGAGATGGAAAAAATGGAGGGCATGATCACCATTAAGGTGAGATTCTTTGCTTGCATAAAAACCAGCGCCATAGGGATGTTTTTTGTTCACATAAAGGGGCTTTATACATGTTTTTACAATGTGTTAGGTTCACATAAAGGGGCTTTATACATGTTTTTACAATGTGTTAGGTTCCATAAAGGGGCTTTATACATGTTTTTACAATGTGTTAGGTTCACATAAAGGGGCTTTACACATGTTTTTACAATGTGTTAGGTTCCATAAAGGGGCTTTATACATGTTTTTACAATGTGTTAGGTTCCATAAAGGGGCTTTATACATGTTTTTACAATGTGTTAGGTTCCATAAAGGGGCTTTATACATGTTTTTACAATGTGTTAGGTTCCATAATGTGCGTGCAAGGTGTTGAATTTCAAGTGTAATGAAGGTGTTAGTCACAATAATGGATGTAAGGTGGTAGTCACAATAATGGATATAAGGTGGTAGTCACAATAATGTGTTAGGTTCCAAACGTGAGTGCAAGGTGTTGGATGTCAAGTGTAATGAAGGTGTTAGTCACAATAAGGGATGTACAAATCGTTGGTATTCACTGTATGCAATGGTGAAAATCTTGTAGAGATCATCCTCTAATTCAGGGGTGGCAACCTTTTTTGAGAGAGGACCCAGGCTTATAAATAATGTCTTCTTAGAAAACATTTTGGGTGCAGCTGGCAGGGGTGGATTGTTAAACTTCATTAGAGATTATGAAAAGAAGGAAAAAAAAACGGCGCCCATAATTTAAAAACCCTGCATGCGTCTCTGAGACAGCAGGTTTTGACCAACGGCCCAGTTCATAGGGTCCCCAACTCATTGTTAGTGACCCTGTTTGAGGATCCCAAAGTTTTTCTGCCTGGGTTGCTGGGCGAAACTCAAATCATTTTTATTTAGAATTCACCATGTTTAAATTTATGTCATAATACCCCCCCCCCCCCCCCCCCCTTTTTTTTTTTTTTTTTTTTTTTTTGTGGATAACGGGACTCGGGAATTTCTTGTAACAACCTCTTTTTCCATGTTTCCCAAATAGCACTCCATTGCATGTTATAAAGCTTCTCTTTCGTTGCGAGTTGATCAAACCAATACNAAAAAGGGGGGGGGGGGGGGACCTGTGTGTTCTAGTTTAATTGCATGAATATGAAATGACAGTTTAAGAAAGTAAATGTAATCTTGAAATAGTCAACTGACCTTTCCCAGGGCAGTTTGGCTTATGTCTCCCAGCAAGCTTGGATACAGAATGACACCCTCAGAAACAACATCTTGTTTGGGAAACCTCTGAATGAAGACTTGTATAACAGATGCCTCGATGGTTGTGCTCTCAGACATGACTTGGACATTCTGCCAGCTGGGGATTTGACTGAGATTGGTGAAAGGGTTTGATCGTTTTCTACATTTTTGTCCAAAATTTCTCACATTTAAATCTCAAATACATAGTAGAAAATGTATGGAGCTGTTATCACATGACCTCACAGGTAAACTTTTATGAAGTCTCTTGTTGAGAAGCAATAAACTCTGATACCATAAGAGTGAGATTGTTACTTGCTGAATTCTTAGATGCAGTTGAACACTTAATCATTTAAAGATTATAAAGTTTTCGATAAAACAAGAAATTTTTTATGTCACACTTTGAGGACTTGGAAGAGTTCATGGTTATGACCTGTAACAGCTCAATTATTACAATAATAAATTGTTTCGTAATTTAGTATTAATATACGTTTGATATTGAAATGTCATGCGCGGAAGGAGAGGAAGTGATTTTGAATATGGTCAAGTTGGACTCATAAAATTTTTTGCGCTTGCAATAATATATCTCACGGCATCGGATTAGCCATCATTTTATTTGAGTGTATTAAGAAATAAGTGAAGTTTATAAAATCAGGACGATTATTTTACTCCAACCTGGAGATTTATTTCTCCTATTTGCGAAACGTACTGTGTAAATAAAAGATATTGATGCAACCACATCGGACTTTCCTCATGCTTCCACATAAATAATTATCGTAATAATTATCAGTCACCACTGCAAAGCAGGATACATGTATACAGCTATAAATGATAAGTAACTAAAGAAATAGTGTGGTCAACATATCCAATCATACAAGTCGTTACATGACCATTTCCTTTTCTTTTTAATTCAAGATTTGACTTAACCTCAAAACCAAATGATTAAAATACTGTGAAGATATTTGTATGTAAAGTCTTGACCCGTGATACACTATTTCTCTTTAGGGTATAAATTTATCAGGTGGACAAAAGCAGCGTGTGGCCCTGGCACGCGCCATCTACGCCCAAGCTGACATTTATTTATTGGATGATCCCCTGAGTGCTGTGGACTCTCATGTTGGAAAACACATTTTTGATCATGTGATCAGCGCCAATGGACTTCTTGGTGGCAAGGTGAGTACTTATTAATCAGAACTTAAAGAATATAATCAAGGGATTAAAATCTTATTTGTTCTCTCAGGGCCTAAGATTTGAAAAGCTGTGTGTACAAAGTTCTAAGGACTCTAAAGAGGAACTTGATTTTTTTTTTGTCAGCCACTAGTTTCAAAAATATTACCTGGGATAATTTGTGGAACTTTTTGATGCACCTTTTAAAATATGCTGCAACATTTCCTTTGACTTCCTCAGGTGAGAGTTCTGGTCACTCATGGTATACAGTACCTCCCATTTACTGATCATATTATAGTGCTGACAAATGGTGAAATTTCAGAGGCAGGCCAATACAATAATCTTCTCTCACACAAGGGTCCATTTGCTAAGCTGATAACAACATATCTAGTGAAACTTCTTTCTGAAGATAAATCTGAATGTAAGTTTTTCTTTGGAAAATATACAGTTTTATTTGACAGAATGTCCTTAAGATTAAGCACTTCTTTTTTTTGGTCATAGATTACAGATAAGAAATTTTGTTTAGAGTGGCAGAAATTTTTTGAATGGGCAAGTTACTGTCATTGAACTGAATAAACAAAATGTGAGAATTTTGTAATAAAGTTTTTCAAATCCAAATTTTAGACTCAGGTGAAACATTTTTTAAATGACACACAATTGTTTTTATCAGACATGTTGGATCTAAAGTTTCACAACTGCATGACACAATGCAGGAGAAACAGAGAATCTTAAATTGTATGATTATAAGAATTGCACTACCTTCACTGTAGTGGTCAACTTAGACACACAAACTAAGTTTACTAAGACTTTCTTACCATGAGTAAAATGGTTATTTTATTTGATATTTAATGCCATCCTGTAGTTCAATGGTGGAGCTTCTGCCTTGTCACCAGGAATCGGCTTGTTGTAATTCATCTGTTTGTTTGTCCCAAACTAAGGGGCAGGTAGAATTTACTCATCTGCCCAGTATTTTCTAAATCTGCTGAGGAAACTAAGCTTTTAACAAATTTATGTGAAAATAATTTCAGTTAAAGAATTAAAAGTTCTCTCAGAGTCTGAAGATGATGACTATAACAGCAGCGCAGCCCCTGAATTACTGAGACAACTTTCTGCAACGTAATATATTTCATTAAAATTGGTTTGAAAGTTAAATTAGCTGTTGTGCACGAAGACAAATTGTTGAACCTTTGTCTTACATTGAACTTAATCTTTTCTCACATTAGTTATATATTTCTGATAATTCTTAAACAACATTAACAAAAACACGATCTGAATCTACATATTATGCTTTCAGTGTGGTCACAGAAAATAAAGAAAGCTTAGTTGAAGAGAAGTTGGACCCCCAGCAGATTAGTCATCAGAATTTAGAAGCTAATCTAATAGAGGAGGAAATAGTAGCCACTGGGACTGTAAGTAATCATGTTTGCAATGTGAAAAAAAAATTATTTTGGAAATACTTAAATTATGTACTTAATAAGTGACTGAAATTTATATTCTTAATTATTTAATTACATAATGTGACTATTTGTATAATTTTTTTATTGTCAAATTTATTATTTTTCGTACAAAAATGTATCATTTATAATGTGTTTGGAGTAGCAGGCATGTTCATTGAAATATCTTTGTAGCTAAAGTTGGGGTAGAAATTACTCCCTAGTTTTAGTTAGAGCCAACGTAAAAGTTTCAATGGACATTGTTGAACTGTTGCTGTTGACATGCATTCCTTCCACTCAAGATTTCAGATTGTTAGTGATGCATTTCAAATAACTTCTTTTCCCTACAGGTAAAACTTAGTGTTTTCAAACAGTATGGCAAATCACTGGGCCTGGGGTACATGCTGATCATCCTAGTTCTGTATTCTGTGTTTACCGCCGCCTACATGGGCGCATCAGTATTTTTAAGCATTTGGACTGATGATGGCCAGCTGGCCAATTTGACGGCGTGGCCCAGGAACAGCACGGAGAGGATGGATCAAAACAGTTTTTACATTGGCATTTATGGAGCCTTAGGAATTGTTCAGAGTAATGCCTTTTGTTTTTTGTTCAGAGTAATGCCTATGTGTCTTGTTCAGAGTAATGCCTTTTGTTTTTTGTTCAGAGTAATGCCTATGTGTCTTGTTCAGAGTAATGCCTTTTGTGTCTTGTTCAGAGTAATGCCTTTTGTGTCTTGTTCAGAGTAATGCCTTTTGTTTTTTATTCAGAGTAATGCTTTGTTATAATAAATGATGAGTTTTCTAACACAAAACAAAATATACTGAATGTACTCTAGCAGGAAAATGTAAAAAAAATTTATGTGATGCTTATAATGATTTTAAAATTTTAATTCTAGAGTACATTCAGTATACAGATGTCCCCTGTCGATCACGGGGATTAGGTTTCAGACCCCTCCACCCATCCCACGATAGGTGAAAATCCACAAAGCAACAACCTTATATTTAATATATTATTTATATTTATTTCATGGCTTCATAAGCTGCCCCCACACAGTTATTTACCTTTCCCAGACTCTTTTAAACACGTCCCAGGAAAACACTTGCTACACTCTGTAACCTATGTGATTTTAAGAACATAGGTGCTCACCACGATACAAGGTTAGATATAAGCAAGTAAAAAAATCTTGGATACAGTGAGATGGTGAAAAGTGAACAGCGTCATGGCGAGGGATGAGTGTATTTTCTTTTGTGTTGGAAAAAGTCAAGTTGTGGGTTTTCTGTGATATAGTTTGATATTTGAAAGTAACTTGCATCAATACAGACTAAAAAGCTAATTTAGTTCCCCTTATAATTATTTGTCTTGTAATCTACAAATGCATTGCTTATTGATCACTATTTCTATGGGATCTCTGAATGAGAGCTAGACTCGATCAGTTTGTAGGACTTTTTTTCTACTTGTACTAAGTGCAATGCCTTTAGCTTTCTAAGGAGCAGGAGTCACAGGCTTGCTGCTCCTATTCTGTGTTAGTTTTGTCCATGTTTAAACAAAATCAAGAAATTAGCATCTTTCTTTCTTTACTTTTTCATTTATTTATGTGCCGTATTTTTTAAATATTAATAAAAAAAATATTTCTGCAGCTGTTTTGCTTCTGGCTTTTACCTTGGTGCTAAACCTGCGAAGCATTCATGCGTCACGCAAGCTACACAGCTCCATGTTAGATCAAGTTCTGCGTGCGCCCATGTCTTTTTTTGACACAACTCCTGTGGGTCGGATCATCAATCGCTTCTCCAAGGACTTGGACGATGTTGATGAGGAGATACCCTTGACATTACACATGTGGCTTGAGTGTGTCTTCCATGTGCTTGCCACCATCATCATCGTATCCTACAGCACACCTTTATTCATGGCCTTTATCCTACCAGTCGGGGTCCTTTATTTCTTCATACAGGTTGGTGAGATTGTTTTGCTTGAAACGGTTGTATAAGATAAATAGAACAAGAATGGTTTTGGCTTGAGGAAAAAAAAGGAAATTTATAAAATTATAACCCAAAACATATCTTGTTCCACTATTTATTTATTTTACGCAGCTCCAACACAGTCCCTCATACATTATTAGTTTTTGTCTTAGATTAAAACAACTTCCTGTCGAGCCTATCTACAGCAGAAAGCTAATTTCGGATTAACTTATTTTCTTTTGATTATAATGTTGTGCTTGCTGATGAAGGCTTGGAGCCGAAATGTTCTTTGTGTCTGGTATTGTTATGTAAGCTGTCACATGTCATGTTCTACTCTACAGTGATGGCGGCTTGAACAGAGAATCTACATTATTATCCTTTGTTTTGATTGACTTGTTCATTTCAAAACAGTTGTAGGGGAGTTCAATATTAATGATATCTTAAAAGTTTTTTAACATGAGTGGGTTGTATTTTTTTTAAATATATGACTCATAGAATTAATTGTCTCAGCAGCCCAGAAACAAAGCTATTCTTCAGGTTGAGTTATACCTCGTTATACCTGAGTTTTAAAAAACATGAATCTCTGCAGACTCCTTTCAACTAAATTCAAGATTGAAAATTGGCTGTCAACACAATAATGGCTTTAGACTTTACTGCTGGGGGAATAAAATCCAGAATGTAAAAAAAGTATTACAGTTTGACATCAATAATCCGGGTTTTCTAAAATTTGGAGCATCAAATATTTGGATAGCCTTATCATAAAAAAATTTTTTGTGGAGTGAGAATTGAAATGTGAATTGAAGTGTACACATTCTCGGGTGTTGCAACGACAGCAACCTTTCAAAAATAATTTGGTAAACAAATCTTTGTTTAAATACCCTTTGGAAGACCCAGATAAGTCGAGATAAGTCATTGATCAGAAGGGTGTCAAACCACCATTAGTCTAAATTATCAAGGTCTCTAAAACTATCCTATAAAAAGGGTTTGGACTGTGATCAAGCTTTTAAGCAGAATATTGAGACACAAACAACTTGTGTAGATAACACAGTTTTTACCTACCATTGTAAGGTTTACAAATTTAATCTGTTCTTTTAAAATTTGGTTCCTTAAATGAACAATGCGAAACAAAAAACTGAAAAAATGTATGGAAAGAAAAACAAAACCAAAGCTAGTGTTGTTAACAATGATCACTGTAAGTATACTATTAAGAGTATTTAAAAATACAAAATCAAATAAACAGAAATAATAACTAAATTATTAACTTACACTTATTGCACCGCAAGTGAAAAGAAAATACTAGAAAAATACAAATATTAATCTACAGGCAGACACAGGGAAAACGTTGTAAGTCTTGTAAGGCCTCTTGTCTTGCATCTCTCTTACGTCTGCCGGTCACAGTCTACCGTGGTATTTATAGTGAGTGAGTCAGAATCCTGCAGAATAGAAAGTCTAGATATTCAATTACCAGAGATGATTTTTTTCTACCCCTAAGTAGACACTTATGTAAATGTAGCAAGAGTGGCAGCACATGTGCCCAAGATAATTGGTGACATTGTAAAAAAGGCAAAGAGGCAGGTAAGGGTTGTATGCCACGACTGGACACCACGCAGGGTGAACAAAAAACTAAGTCGACACATAGGCTATAGCACAATACAAGTTAAGCTTTGATTATTATTAGACAAAATGCAAATTCAAACATTTCGGCACAACAAAACACATTTTTATTATTACAAATTAATATAACATCATCTAAAAATGAAAGAAAATAAAAGAATGGGCATAAGTCCCTAACGAAAACAAATATCAGAAAAACGTGAAGAAAGTGAGTGGAAGTACAATATAAAAAACCAAACTGGAAAAACTGCAATTTAATATATTATTTTAAAGTAGCAAGTTCAGTAAAGAATGTTTAAACCGTTTGAAATAATTGTAAAGATTTTAAGTGCTTCAGGTTTCTACTTTTAGTTTTGATCAGGAACAAAGGAGTAATGTCAGGATTTTGTTCACTAGAACCTGGTGGTGTGACATGAAACTGTGCATCAAATCACAGGGTTGAAGATTGTGCTAGTATAATGTAAAAAGTAGCTTTTAGACAACAAAATATTTTAATTTAACCTAGAATTAAATGTTTGGTATGAGAAAGCAAGTGCAAGGGGATGAACAAATTGTCCACATTCTTACACACTGAGTACCCCTCTGATTGGAGTTGAGCTTTGAATGCTGTCTTCTGTTGTCATCCACTAGAGATATTATATTGTGAAAACCCCTCATATTGGAGTTGAGCTTTGAATGCTGTCTTCTGTTGTCATCCGCCAGAGATATTATATTGTTACATCAAGACAGCTCAAGAGACTGGGAGCTAAAACAACCTCTCCCATCTTCAATCACTTCAGTGAAACATTGGCGGGAGCAAGTGTCATCAGAGCGTTTGGTGCAGAGAAGAGATTTGTCATGGAATGTGACAGTAAGGTTGACCTCAATCAGATTTGTAAGTTCTTCAACTACACCTGCAACAGGTAAAGAATTATTTCATGTTGTCTCATTAATTATTTTTAAAAATGATATACATCATTGGTTAAGCTTTTCTTCTTTTATTCATATATGAATTTTACCTTATATATATAGACTAGATTAGATATAATTTTGTTAATAGCTTGAAGAGGTTTTGTATACATACCTTTTATTTATACATAATTATTCTTTTGGTGTCAGATGGCTGGGCAATCGCACTGAGTTAGTTGGAAACCTGATTGTACTGACAGCAACACTTATTGCAGTCAGCAGCACAGACTCCATCAGTGCTGGCATCATGGGACTCTCCATAAGTTATGCATTGCAGGTGTGTTGAAAGATTTTTTCCTAAACTGTGTTAGCATCATGGGACTCAATAATAGTGTTAGTATCTTGGGATTCTATGACAGTGTTAGCATCATAGAATGTTATAACAGTGTTAGCGTCATGAGATTCTCTAATTGCAGTGTTTTCATTATGGGACTCACATAACAGTGGTGGATAATCCACACGTGATCCACCTTGTCAAATATTTTGACCAGCGGATGGATGATTTATTCCAAATAAACTTATTTTTTCTTTATTTAATAGACAAAGAAATTGATTTAAAAACGATGAGTGAGAGAAGGGGTAACATGTTATCACATTAGTTTAGTTTTACTCTCTTTTATTATTGAAAACTAGAAAATATCACCCGATGTTATCGAGATAATAGGGCAGGAACTTTGCGATAATTTCCACTTGCTACTGCGAAAACTCGTCACAATTCCGTATTTAAAAAGAAAAGTTTCTATGTAATGATGTTGACGTTTCCTGTATCATTAAAAGTTTTGAGAAGTATTTATCTGCTATATCTTATACGCCTACCCTACCCATTTTCGCGCCCCTAAGCTACAATTATTTTTTCTATAAATGTGACCTTAAATTGCCAAATCTAAGTGATCACTAATTAAATCATTATTGTCAGTAAAGGAGCTCATTGACGGCTGCTTTCTACGCTCATTATTTGGCCTACACTATCACTTTTTGTACCCATAAACTTTAAAAAAAAATTCTCTAAAAATTGTAAAAACTTAATCTTTAATTTACAACAAAAACTCTATATATCATTTTAAATATTTTATATAATCAGAATTTGATACACTGATATCTACATTAAAAATTTAGCCAAACTTTTGCCTTTTTTACTATATTATCAGAAAATCGTAAAACAAAGAATTACTTTATCTAAAGAAGACTTACTTAATTGTTTTTCACGTCTGTAACAGCTATAAGTGTCATTTACAGAAATATTATTAATCTCATAACAATAAACACCCACTTTGCTGTTTGCTAAGTAAAAACAAAAATAAATCTTCATTTTTTTAAGAGAAAATCTTTACCCATCTCTGTTTTGAAAATTAAATTTTCACTTGTGTAAAATTATTGGGTTTTTATATTCATGGGTATAGTTATGTAAATGTAACAACGTTTTGTTAACATCATTGATTTTCTTAATTGCTAAACATATGTTTATCATTAAAATGAGAATACAGCATCTGTTTTTCACAACTGTAATATCATTGGATTTAAAAATTTACACACCCTATTTCCTACCCCTGATAAATATGTACCTAAGAAGGTTAATTATTTATCAAATTCATTGAGGTGTATCTTGTGCTGCCTGGGGCAAAATAAAAGTATCGTGTAAAACACACACACACACACACACGCACCCCCCCCCCCAGTTTAAAAACATTAATAAAATTATACACGGGATTGTAGCCCCCTTATGGACGCACAAACACATTTTTTGCACTTCATATGGTTTGTTCTTATTTGGATGAGTGATAAGTGCATTAGTGAATGCTATTTGGCTATGGGGTGTCGCTGCACTTATTGACACAAACAGCACTTTCTTATTAAGAGTGTTTTAAAAGGTTAAGTTTTTATTACTTTTTAATTTAATAAAAGTATATTTTTGGAATGAATACTAAGTAAAATCTTATTAAATATTAAAAAAAGAAAGCTAACAACATTTTTTGTGATTTATTAATAATTTAAAAAGCAATCCATTATACTTCTTAATTTTAATTTTAAGAAAGGGAAAATACATTATCAGTTTTGTTATTAAATAAAATAAACTCAGAGCATTGGCTAAAACAGGCAATCGCGCTATGACGTCATTTGGGTATTTATTTATATCAAATAAGATGTGATGACATGCAGCCAATGAAAGGTTTACTTGCTATCAAAATGGCCAGCAAAACCTTTTTGGGTTGGCTGCTCCTGCTCTGTAACATATGCATTGCAGGTGTGTTGCCAGATTTTTTCACGAAATTAGACCTTTTAAAAAAGAGAGAGCTGGAAGTGGGAATGAAGTAAAAAAAATATTCTGATTAAAAAAATGTATAATCTTTTCCATTTTGTAGTCACAGTTCTGAGATAATTTTACATACTCAAATAATATCCAAATTATAAGGTCTCTTGTTTGTCACACAATGGATATAGACTAGTATAATGTTGTTTTTTGTCTTGCCACACAATCCATGTAATGCTGTTTCTTGACCTGCCACACAGATCACAGAAAGTTTAAATTGGATGGTGAGGTTGACCAGTGACATGGAGACACAGGTTGTGTCCCTGGAGAGAATTGTTGAATACACAGAGATTGAAACTGAGGTAAATTATCAGGGTAAATTAGGAAATAGAAATTGAAGTTATTTAACACAAATGCACTGTTTTACCAAGGAATAGATCCTTATTTAAAGAAGTTAGTGAGACTTTAAAAGTAACATGAGGAATTCTTTGAAAAAGTTTGATGAAAGATTTTCAGTAACTTTATAATAAAAAAAATTCCAGGCAGCTTGGGATAATTTTATGTACAGAAGTCCAATGGGTTGGCCACAGGATGGACACGTGAAAATTGAAGATCTTAGTGTTTGCTATAGAGACGGCCTTGAACTTGTGTTGAAAAGTATAAGCTTTGAGGTGAACCCAGGGGAGAAAGTAAGTCATTTTAAAACAATTCCAGATCACAGCAGTATGTAGATTAAAAAATATATAATTCATCATTTTTACTATAAAAGCCACAGACTCATAAAAAAAGTCTTTTTAAATTAAATCATAAATAAATTTGTTAAAACTGATCTTAAATACATTAATTTAAATAAATCATACTAAGATTCTGTTTAAATAGATTATAAATAAGACCGTTGAAATAGATCATAAATAAGTGTATTAAAATTAGATGCTGTACATTTAACCCTGATTTTTCCCCTAGGTAGGAATAGTAGGCCGAACTGGGGCAGGAAAATCTTCACTGGTTCTTGCTCTGTTTCGATTGGTGGAGCCTGTGGGAGGGCGGATCCTGATTGATGATGTGGATATAAGTAAACTTGGCTTACATGATCTCAGGTCAAAGGTCACTATAATTCCTCAGGTGGGACATCTTAAAACTGTTTATGATATGCTAATATTGAGTTATTTGATAGTGATTCCTGTCCAATGTGTCAGGAAGCGCTGGCTGTTTACTGATAGTTGGTAAAAAGTGCATAGCAAGACGAGCATCAGACCAGGCACAGGTAAGGGACCACGATAAGGTCTGCCATAAATAGATTTTAGTTGTTGACTTGTTGTATTCCACTGATGATGAAGACTCTTCAGTGAAGGGAATGTCCTAGGGCAGCTGTGTCATTCCTGCCAGTATCACACTAGCTCGTCACTTAAGAAAAGCTCCCAGTCTTTCTTAAAACGTGACTGTCATTTTCCAGGGATGGTTAAAGGTGACTGTCAATGCCGGGATGGTTTAAGATGTAGGCACTTCGGTGAAATCCAGGAAGTGCCAAAAAACGGGTGTCGTGATTTTGTTGGGAAAATGGCGACCTCCACTTTTTAATTTACGGAGAGTCTCGTTGTTAACGATTTTTTTGCCAATTATATCCCGGCATACTCATTCTACTTCCGTCCACATTTTAAAGTAGGCATAATGTGTTTTCATTTGAGACTTTAGTTCCAAAAAGACATTTGTGGCTTCACTTTGAAAATTGAAGGTAAAATAACGATATTTTTACTCATTCATATTTTTTTTTGTAGAAAGGTTATATCGCTTGAATTTTAGGTCCTTTATAGATAATGGCATTAACTACAACATATCCAAGACATGTTAGGTTAGCCCCAGCGGTATGGTCAGCAATTTACCCGGCAATTTTAGTCATGTGTGTCCCAAAATGAACTATTATGGATAATTTTTTTTTAATATAGTAAATAATTTGCTTTAGATGGGAAAATCAGCATATTACCCACAAGTACTCAGTTTTAAACAAAATAACATAATTTAATAGCACCATTGAGAATATTTTAATTTAATCTGATGCTTTTATTTTGATTTTGAGTTAATAGTATTGCTTTTGCAACTGCTTTGGGGAGTGTGATAATTTATAGATACAATATTATTTAGATTATATAGTGATTATATTTTATGTATAGTTTAGCTCCTATAAATGGACCTATTTTATGTAATGATATTGTAGGCAAATTTATGATTAATTTAAATACTTGAAGTAATTTATTGTTTTAATGAATAAGATGTTATCTTGAGAATGGGAATGGCTCCAATTACATATCAAATCTGTTGTGGTCTAGGAAGCTACAACTTCTCTACAAAATTACTAATTTTTTTATAACCTTGGTGACAGCAAGTTTATTATGAATAACATTTTTGTCTTCTTTTTTTTTATAATTATCTGTTCTCACAGTGAGAATGGACACCAAACCAGCAGATAGGTTCAATGTCAATGAGCTACTTAAAGCTTATGATCAGTTTTCTGATCCACTCACCATTGGTCATGTCATAAACCTATTTCTTGCCAACCAAAAGAATTTGAATAAAACTGTAGAGGCTTTAATTTCTCACTAAAGACAATAACAAACACAGATCCCTTAACCTCAGAGAACAAAGTGATGAAACTTAAAGTTTGAAACCTGACAACAAGATACAAAAACATTATTAGGTACAAAAAAGACAATAGGAATAAACTTGTTTCGTTTTTAGCTTTAAAGTTTGAACCAGTAAGCCTATGAAAACACAAGAAAAGAAATACAACAGTTGAATCCAAAACTGTACAGGTTATTGCTGGACCATCATCTGAAAATACTGATCACTACTCATTAAGAGAAGATTGGAAGAATTGTACAAGGAAAAGAAAATTAAATGAACAATTAATGGAAGAAAATAAAAAAACTGAAGTCTGAAAATAAAACCATTAAAAAGCAATACAGTTATAAGATAGTAAAACAAAAAATGAAAAGAATGGGAGAAAGTTTATCAAAACAGCAACAAAAAAATAGAAGTTTAAACGCCTAAATTTGGTGTATTAAAAAAGATTGAACAGGAGAATATTGACTAAGTACTATTCAAGCAACAATCATTAAAAACTTGAGGAACAGAATTAGGAAAAAGAATGTTTCATTAGTTCAAAATACAAAAGAAATAAAATTACTTAAACTAGAAATTAGAGATAAACAAATACTTATTAGTAAATTAAATTTAACTTGTCAAGTAAAGAAAGTACTTAAAAGAATTTAAAGAGCAAAAGGTTATTAGGGTAAGGGAAGGTAAGTCATACAATATGTCAACAAAACTGTGTATGTATCAATCACTGTTGTCTAATGTACAAGTGTCTGCTGCTGGTCAGTTGATCTCATTTAATGTATAGCAAATGACTGGCATCAGACTTGAGTGTGTGCCTCAGCAGACAATAGTGGCTCAGATGACATACGAGTTGGGCATCTTGGCCAACTTGCATGTAGGAGAGGCTTTAGCAACCCATGACAATGTCACACTGTCGTGGGATGCTACTTCAATGGGACCCTCTCACATCAATGAAATGCACATATCCACTTCACCCACAGGCCATCTAACATTAGACATTAGAGAGTTAGCAGGTGGCAAGGCAGTAGTTTATGCAGATCACATTAGTGAATCTTTGATAGATGCCACCGCCTTCTATGCAAAGTACACTAGGGTTCCTGAGGCTCAGACCAGTTTATTCTACCAGGGCCTCATAAATAAAGTTAAAAGTACACTAACAGATTGGATCCATGTTAGCCACTGTGTTGTTAACCAATTGCAATTAATGTTTGACAGTCTAATTCTGGAACTTAATTGCAATATATACCCCCTTGATATCTTTGCCAGTGCTGCACGAAAGGCTCTGATAGATATAGACAAGGAGCAAGGAATGTCCTCTTCTCAGTCATCTTTTTGGCTATTGTCGGGTTCTTAAAGTTATTGTCTTGTTGTAAGCTTAAATATAATAATCGAAGTGAGGATCCTGTGGGGTTCCGATCATTTTTTAAAGAAAAGGACATTCCTGTAGGCACATTAGTTAGGTATGTAGGCACATTAATTAGGTATGTAGGCACATTAGTTAGGTATGTAGGTTTGTAGGCACATTAGTTAGGTTTGTAGGCACATTAGTTAGGTATGTAGGCAACCGCATACATGTGCTTTTTTCCCTCTGCAGCAATCATAATTTTGCATCTTGAGGTACTCCGTGAATACCTGAGTAGTAAACATTCAGCAGGTACTTCAGTCAGGAGTGCAACAAAATGTGACTTGGATGACTGCAGAATAGTGATACAACTGAGAGCCCTTGGCTTGATTGGTAGCTCATCACTGGGCCATGAATGACAAAATTATACTCTGATTAAGTGCATTTTGATCTCCTCCCAGTGATCCAAGCATGTCATGACAACTTGGAACGGCTTGCCAACCAACCTAAAGAAATTCTCAATGGATCACACACAATATATTTAGAGAGCCTATGCCTGCTGAGGCTGATACAGCACTGAAAGCTCTTTTGAATTTCCATGCCAATGAAAAAATTGCTTTCAAGTATCCTTGTGGTGTGTCAGCACCAGTTGGCTCCTTACACAGCACCAGTTGGCTCCTTACATTGCTGGTAACCTCTCTGAATCCACAACAGAGATGCGAATTCAATCCTGCTCTGCACCCAACCTTAACATGGCCTCCGAACGTGCCTTAGGAAGGGTGGACCTGTTGTGGCAGCGTGCTCCTAATGCAACATTTAATTTTATTTATGGTAAGGTTAAAGGTTGCGTAAACAACACCCTTATCTGGTTACTTGGTAAAGAGGAGGCTGAGAGGAAAGGCATTTTTGAATTCACTGTCAGGGAGGGGTATGTTGCAAAAAAGTTTCGGAACCCAGGCGGTCAGCAGTAGAGATGGAGATGGTGCGGCGTCAAAAAGACTCGGCTGCACAGAAAGACAAAAGTCACTGCACATCTATCAGCAATAAAGTGAGGGATGCCATTGTGCGGCAGAATCGAGATGATGCTGTGTTCTCTGCTGTCTCTGCTGAGAACATGGACTTCATTAAGATAGTGGTGCACCAAGCCACCCCTGAAATATTAAAGTATTTATGGGGTCAGCTTGTACAACACAAGTGGGAAAAACAGGGTGTAAATTATTGGTACAATGGGAGGATAGTTGATGTATTTGAGAAGAAAAAGGCAAAATCAGTAGAAAAAAAAGTTACCATCAGCTACTGGAGCTTTAATGAGACGGGAAAAGACAGTTCTGACTATAATCTGTCACTCTCAGATTTTGTTACAGATCTCATACTAGGTGATCTAGAATTTATAATGTAATAAGTTTTTCTAGTTTGAGATCTCACTTCTGATCATTTTCATCAACTTAGATAACTAAAATTTAGGTTAGTCACATTGAGTGTTCATGTTTTTAAACTACCCTTTTTAATCTTAAAATTTAAAGATAAATGTTGACATTTTTTATTTTATTTTGTGGTTAGCTGTTGATGTGAGTAGGAAATCCTGTTGACATATGGTATGATTTATCAGATAAAATGTATTTAAAATTGTTTAAATAATAGCATAAAATTTAAATTTGTTTTAAACAATTATGCACTTAAAATAAAATTTAAAAAACACAATTGGCTGAGACAGTAAGACATGGCCTTGGTGTATTTATAGGCAAACTAACTCAGTGGTATGTTGCTTTTGAAATGAGTTACTTTCTTGCATGCTATCTGGTAAAAATATTCAGTTTATTTTTATTAATTTATTATTAATCATCAGTTGAAGTTGATTCTAACCTAACATGTTGATTTTTAAATCAATATTACTAAAATAGTAATTTTAGGGTGAATTAGATGACTGTCTGGTTACTTTCTTGCATGCCTCTATGACTCTATGCATATTATAAAAAAATTGTGGTAAGACAAGTCACATGGCTCATAATGTCCTAGTTAGTAAGTTTTTTATTATTAATTTATTTTTGTTAATCAGTTGAAGTTGATTCTAACATGTTGATTTGTTAGACTTGATTGCTAACTTTAATCACATACTTATTTTTTTGTGTCATATTAAATATGAGACTACACATGTAAAAAGGCATCAAAGGCCTTTGTTATTATACAATTATGGTAAAATAAAAAGTATCATCGTCAATTTTAACTAAATGAAACAAATAATCCCTTTATTATTAGTTTATACTTATAAATGCTAAACAATTCCACAGAAAATTTGAAATTAACATCTAAAGAATATTATTATGATTTTTGGGAAATTAAAAAAAAATGATTTCAACATAATTAATTAATTAATTACAAATAAGTGTTAAGTCAGCATATTTTTTAATTAATTTTTTTTTAATTGGAGAATAACAAAGATTTGTTTTTTAATTTTTGTGGAATATTAACAAAAACTAATTTATATTTTGTGGCTTATTTTAGAAGTACTCTTATTTAACTATGTTCCCTGTAAATATTATATTTTTGTCTCATTTTATAGTAAAGTTTTAGGCGTTTAAAAAAACAACTAAATGAGCGTCACGAAATATGGAGGAAAACCTCATAGTGAAAAAGTGGTTTTGGTGTCCCTACTAAAAAAATCATAACTTTTGAACCGCTTGAGCTAGAAAGTTGATCTTGGTATTTTTTGTAATCTATTCACCAGGCTCTATACAGCTCTAGTATTTTTAAAAAATATTTTGATCAAAGTGCCTACTAAGATGAATTCAATGGCCCCAGATAGTTTAGTGTGACTGTCAATGCCCCCAGATAGTTTAAGTTAAGGTGACTGGCACTGCCCTGGGATGGTTTTAGGTGAATGTCAATGTCCTGGGATGGTTTAAGGTGATTGTCAATGCCCTGGGATGGTTTAAGGTGACTGTCAATGCCCTGGGATGGGCAAAGATGAATGTCAATGCCCCCAGATGGTTCAGTGTGACTGTCAATTCCCCCAGATAGTTTAAGTTAAGGTGACTGGCACTGCCTTGGGATGGTTTTAGGTGAATGTCAATGTCCTGGGATAGTTTAAGGTGACTGTCAATGCCCTGGGATGGGTTAAGATGAATGTCAATGCCCTGTGATAGTTTACTGTGACTGTCAATGCCCTGGGATGGTTTACTGTGACTGTCAATGCCCTGGGATGATTTAAGGTCTTTAATTATATCCTTTCCAAACCAATCACAAGTGTCCTTAGAATGTGGTACCCTAATACTTTGCTACCACAGATGCTGAAGGATCAATTTGGGGGTGGGGGGTTGTTATAAAAGAGCATTCAAATCTTTTTTTAATTGGGCCTTGGTTACAGAAACAATTATGCAGTTAATTGTTGATTTTTTTAAAGCTTATTTTATATATCCTTTGATTCTGGCGTTAACAAGGCCAATAAATTATGTTTTGTTGATTATTTCACAGGACCCAGTTATATTTGCTGGTACATTACGAAACAATTTAGATCCTTTCAATGAATACCTGGACGAGGCTCTGTGGACATCTCTAGAACACGCCCACCTGAAATCCTTTGTGGAGAGTTTACCAGACCTCCTGTACCATCAGTGCGGAGAGGGAGGAGAAAATCTAAGGTAGAACTTGATAACAACACATGACAGCAACTCATGATAGCAACACATGATAGTGTTACGCCCCCTATGTGTTCAATGAATGTGAACAAGCTCGTGGTCTAGGGGTTTTGAAAAGAGGGCTAACACAGGTAGATTTTAGACACACTATTGGCTAAAATAAAGACAATCAGTGCACTATTGAAATGTACTTTATTACATGAACTACTATGTGAACAAAGATACATGAAATCTACATATAAAGAAACAAATACAATTTTAATTATCTAAATCTCACAGTAATAATAAAACACACAATACTATCACTAGTCTAAGTTCCTGGAATTAATATTTCTGCTAACTATTAAATGGCCCTCATCTAGTACTAAGCAATTGCAACGGACGGCTGACCACCTATCTCCCTGTCCTCCTCATTTGGTCTACCCCTCTTGGGGCGATGCGTCCAGTCTAAATATGCATATTCATTTCGCGTGCTTGACCATTAAATAGGTCACGGTCAGCTTAAATCAAGGTTGGTGGTGGCCGTGATCAGTTAGAGACGTCGTGCTCCCTGGCTGTGTTAATCTGACCCGGTCAGTCTTATGGGGTACATAAACAAAAGGGGCCAGGCACGTAACAATAGCAACATATGATAGCATCACATTTGTTTGAACTGGGGAATTTTATCAAAAGTTTCATTTTCATCCCCAGCCTAACAGGTCACTGCAACTATTCACTCTGTTGTTGTGGGGAACACAGAGAAGATCGTTAGCTAAATTTATGTATTAGTCAACTGTCGCTGCCAGATAAATTAAATTCATGCTACTAAGCACTTTATTGAAACTGTATTCACACAACAAATCAGCCAGGGAACTATAATATCGGCAGCAACACAGGTTATATATATACACTTTCACTTCTTATATTGATTAGTTAAAATGTAAGCCAAGCGTCTACCTTGTTTGATAGATCTGCTGTCGCTCTTACAATTATTTCACAATTTATCAGATAGAAGAATCGCACTCAACCTCCCAATATGGCAGTCTTCACACAAATTCCTTGTACCTCTATATCTGTGCATCTCAATTAATTTTATCCTATATCAAAGGTGCATGTGCAAAGTCACACTGTTACAGTCCCAACTGGGTCACCAGCTAGCATTAATTATCTCTTGTTTTGTTATCAAACAATCTCGGATAAGTCAGCCAATCACAAGCCATCATTTAAATGGCATAAGTTAACAACATTCTTCTTGTATCAGTGTTGGACAGAAACAGTTGCTGTGTCTCAGCAGAGCTTTACTCCGTAAAACCAAAATTCTCATATTGGATGAGGCAACAGCAGCTGTGGATATGGAGACGGATGAGTTGATCCAGAGGACTATCCGAGAAGAGTTTAGTAACTGCACTATTTTGACCATTGCACACAGACTTAATACAGTCATGGATTATGACAGGTGAGGCAGTGTAACTAACTTGTGACGGGTGAAGAGTTTAACTTACTTGGGACAGGTGAGGTAATTTAACTTACTTGTGACAGGTGAGGGAGTATAACTTACTTGTGACAGGTGAGGGAGTTTATCTGACTTGTGACAGGTGAGGCAGTTTTACTTACTTGTGACAGATGGGGTAGTTTAACTTACTTGTAAAAAGTGAGGTAATTTAACTTAGTTGTAACAGGTGGGGTAGTTTAACTTACTTGTGATGGGTGAGGCAGTTTAACTGACTTGCGACAGGTGAGGCAGTTTAACTTAATTGTGACAGGTGAGGGAGTTTAACTTGTGACAGGTGAGGCAGTTTAAATTACTTGTGACAGGTGAGGCAGTTTAACTTACTTGTGACAGGTGAGGTAATTTAACTTACTTGTGACAGGTGAGGCATTTTAACTTGTGACAGGTGAGGCAGTTTAACTTACTTGTGACAGGTGAGGTAATTTAACTTACTTGTGACAGGTGAGGCATTTTAACTTGTGACAGGTGAGTTAGTTTAACTTACTTGTGACATCATGTGGATATAATGTTGCTGATTTAAGTTTTTGTTGTTGAGTTTCCAATTTTAAAATATAACCACTGCCATATCCTATATGATTGTAAATTACCACCTCTACATAATATATGATTGTAAATTACCACCTCTACATAATATATGATTGTAAATTACCACCGCTACATAATATATGATTGAAAATTTGGACCAACCTTGTGAATTTTTGACCCTATTCCTCATTGACATTTCAGGATTCTTGTGCTGGAGAGAGGAGAGCTTGTCGAGTATGACAAGCCTGGTCAGTTACTGCAGAACTCTGGATCACTCTTCTACAGCATGGTCCAAGCTGCTGAATTGTTATAGCTATTGGACTGCTAGCCGAGATATTAATAGAAATGTTCATGTTATAAAACCTAAGTTATAGTCATAATATTTTTGCTTGTGTGTCATAGGGAATGACAAGTGTGTGGTCTTATGAGTTGCTGTTAGATATTTGTCATGAGATGCTATTAGATATTTGTCATGAGATGCTATTAGATATTTGTCATGAGATGCTATTAGATATAGGCCATGAGATGCTAATAAAATTGGTATTTATCACCAGATATTGTATAGATGATGCTATTACCATTTCAATTGACTGTTTCAACACTGTTTCCTTCTGTGATGCTGTCAGTTACTGTAAACCAAATGAAAAGAATTTAATATATTGAGTATAAATATTTTCACCATTGTATGTTATAAAATACTAAGGAACAACTTAATAGTTGATGTTGTTATAACTACTATTATGTGTACGGATACTGTGCTTGCTGTGCCATTTTAAATATGTTGTTTGAAACTGTGATGAATTCATGTGGTATTGTGTGCCAAGTGACAGTCTGAGTGAGACTTGATAATGTGTGTTCTATTTAAACCTGTTTATGTGTGATTTAAATCAATCCTAATTAATAACCTTACTTTAACCAATCTATGGCAACCGCTGGGCATGTGAAAAAGTCATAGGCTTCTGTTAAATGGTGTAGAATTAAGTGTTATTGTGTACAGTGTTTCATTAAGTCATGCTTACCTCCCTTCCATTCAGGGTGTGGCACTCTTTACTTTTGGGAAAATCATGGGAAATCAAGGAAAGATAAGCACCCAAAGAGATGTATATTTTCCTTTTAGTGTTTTAGTTTTGTGCTGCAAATAAAATTAACATTTTGAGAACATTTATTTGAAATGTACTTAATTTTTGTAACTCCCTGTAGTTTATTTTAAAAATTAATCAGAATGCTACATTGATCATATGATAGTTTTTTTAAAAGATGACATCATTTCTCTAAATTGCTGCCCTATTATGTTCATGTATATCCCAGGTATGTAATGATGGCTGGGTGATGGACTAGTACTATATCCTAGATATAACATTAGCCAAACACCAAGATGATGTAACATTAGACAAACACCCAGGTGATGTAACATTAGCCAAACATCCAGGTGATGTAACATTAGACAAACACCCAGGTGATGTAACATTAGCCAAACACCCATGTGATTTAACATTAGCCAAACACCCAGGTGATGTAACATTAGATAAACACCCAGGTGATGTAACATTAGAAAAACACCCAGGTGATGTAACATTAGACAAACACCCAGGTGATGTAACATTAGACAAACACCCAGATGATGCATCATTAGTCAAACACCCAGGTGATGTAACATTAGCCAAACACTCAGTTGATGTAACATTAGCCAAACACTCAGGTGATGTAACATTAGACAAACACCCAGGTGATGTAACATTAGACAAACACCCAGGTGATGTAACATTAGACAACTACCTCAAGTGCATCCCACTGTTTAATGTGATTTGATCTCATGTCAGTTTTTAATTTTTTTATCTGGTTAATTCATTGCTGTCAACACAAACCATTGAAACTTATTTCCTATGGAGGAGTCAGTTATATTACTCTTCTGTGTTTACACTTGCTAACTTGCTGTTACAAAACCTTTACGCTTTGATTTATTGATTGTGATAATTTTTTATAAAATTAAATTTTGTAACTAGTGTTACATTATCACAACATATAATGAAAATGAATGTGTTTGTTTTTGCTCTTCTCTTGCCCTGGTGTGACATATGCAGACCTGTTTACCCTCAAACTCTTAAAATCGTACAATATCATCACAAAATCGTTCAATACCTTATATTTAGAGTAAAAAATAAGCATAAAGTATATATTTTTACACTTGAAAATCGTACATTGTACGCCAAAATCGTAAGAGTAAACAGGTCTGCGTATGTTTATTAATTAATCTTAAGTCTTGTATCACATATGGCATAACATAGAGTGCCATACATTATTTTCTATGCATAGGTGTTGTGTTGTTTTGTTGTTTTAAAAGTTTAAAATTGAATGCTAAGACTTAGCGAACATCAGTTTGATGTAACATTAGCCAAACATAACTTGATGTCACACCGCAGTTATCCTTAGCCTAAGAAGAGCACTTTGCTTGTTTACTGTTCTATGGCCAGTGGCCAGATCGACCTCTTGGGATGTATCCATTTGAAGTCATGAGGATGATCCGCCCCAAGACATTGTGCCAACATTTACAAAAATTTAACAACATTAATTGGAGGTCATCGGAAACATATTAAAAGTCATGTTTTTATTGTAAAAATATTCAAATTTTTAGAATACCTTTATGAAAGTTTAAAAACATTTTGGAGGTGAGTAAACATAAGCAAGTGAATAGTTACTGCTCAGCAAATCTCCCTGCCTGGTACAGCAACTATCATAACTTCAAAGTAGGCATGTGCCTTTGGGCCCTTCGACTTTTAGACTTATGTATGTTGCCTACTGGATAGAGTTGGAGACATAGTCATACGGCATGGCTGTTTGCTAAAATGTTTCCGTAAATGATTTGAAATATTTTAAGTACTCGTTTGTAAATACTTCTTCAAATAATTGTATTTATTACGTTGGCAACCCTGAGGCCAAGTAGAAGCCCCTCCTCCCAATTTTTATAAGTAGCCCTCCAAATTCACGTTTTTTAAATAAGTAGCTCTCCAAATTCACGTTATTTTAATAAGTAGCCCTCCAAATTCACGTTTTTTTTAATAAGTAGCCCTCCAAATTCACGTTTTTTTAATAAGTAGCCCTCCAAATTCACGTTTTTTAATAAGTAGCCCTCCAAATTCACGTTTTTTTTAATAAGTAGCCCTCCAAATTCACGTTTTTTTAATAAGTAGCCCTCCAAATTCACGTTTTTTTAATAAGTAGCCCTCCAAATTCACGTTTTTTTAATAAGTAGCCCTCCAAATTCACGTTTTTTATAAGTAGCCCTCCAAATGAATGTTTTTTTATAAGTATCCCTCCAAATTCACGTATTTTGTAAGTAGCCCTACATAAAGAAGTAAATGATTGGAAAATTGAAAGTTATTTTTTTCTTATGACTAGTAATTGTTCACCAACAATCTAGGCTCTAGGCCTACATTCACCAACAATCTAGGCTCTAGGCCTGCATTCACCAACAATCTAGGCTCTAGGCCTGCATTCACAAATTGAATAATAATGTACGCCATATTTTTAAACATAAAGTTTTGATTTAAGGTCGTCTGTTTGCCTGAGTTCGGGGTCTTTATTGATGACCTAACACGTGGTCACAACTAGCATGCATATTCAGGTTGGGGCTCGATCTTACGCTTCTAAAGCCCCGGCTAGTACATTGGTAACAAGTTCCATCTGCCGGGCTGTGCCATATTATAAAATCGTAATGTAGTACTGTCCCGCGCCCCCCCCCCGGTCTCCCTCGGAACATCCGGTGCAGGGCACAAAGTCTTAATGAGCTAGCGTCTCCGGGGCTAGCGCGCAATGCCGGCAGGTCGGATCCCTGTCGTTGTCTAGCCTGTTGATGTATGCTTTTGTGTGTGTGGGGGGGGGGGGAGGGTTCGGTTCTCATTTGGTTCACCAGACTCTGTTGTTGACGTTCCAATTTCTACCAGGGGTCTTGTCTGCTAGGAGGCGGTATGTTACCGAATACCCCTGTGGCCTTCGTCATGTCTGCCGATTGTCCGTAGTATTGTTTGTACAACTTTTTTTCTAAATTGGTCCGTCAGCCAGTTTTTGACACAGAGATATGTGACTCATGATTCTGGTTGGGGTTGGGCAGCCCCAGTTTTTAACCGTGTGTCTGCGCTTTCATTGCCTTTCTTGTTTACGCGGCTTGGTGCCCAGTGAACCGTTTCATTTTCCACCGATTTTCTCGATCTTTCTCACGTCAATCAAGTGGGTGTAATGTGCTTCCTTATTCAAGATCTCGAGAGCAGATCTTGAATCGTGGAAAATAACAACAGCAAGTCCCACAAGCTGCAGCGAACTGTGTCCACTTTCCAGTGGCCTGGGAATAGAAACCAGGTCCGTATCGAAATTTGACACTGCATTAACATAGGGCCGTGAAAGTTCATCATTTGTTGGAACCCCTTATTGCGTAATGGATGAGCGCACCGTCCCCCGCATTTCTTTCTCTGGGGTTGGCCGATTCGTCCGTAAAAACTTTCACTGGGGTTTCCAACAACCCTTCAAACGTCTCAAGGCCAACCGCCCTCCGAACATGTGCAGGGCTGCGTTTCGTCACTGCTGTGTCATCCAAAGCCATAAGTGTACGGGACAGGAATGGGGGTCAGTCGTTCTCTATTTTTCTGGAGTTTGACTGGTCCTCTCAAGTTCCGCAGCTTGGTGCGTGCATAAAGGAGGATATTTTCAGTCTACTCCCCGATACCCAGTTATTCTGCATTTGGCACCAGGGTTCCTTTTAAATTATTCTCCGGTACTGTCTGCGGTAGTTAAAATTTCCTCGTCTTTGCTTTTGTTCAGCGGCTCTACGTTGGATACGATTCCCACATCAGCTGTGGGTGTGGTCTTGAATGCACCACAGATGAATCTCAGCGCCTGATTCTGGATTCGGCTCATTTTTTACAGGGCAGTCGTTCTTGCAAAGGATTTGACGAGCTTGCTGAAGTCCATCAGCGAACTTACGCTACTCAGGAATAGAGCTCTGAGAGTACCTGCTCCGGCGCCCCAATTCGTGCACCCGAGCTTTTTCCACCAGGTGGATCTTGGCGGTTGCCTGGAAATTCAGATCTTGTACGAAAATGTGCATTTGTACCTTTTGATCCAATTTGACTCTATAGTACCTCGGCGTACACAGTAAGTCTGTAGTACCTCGGCGTACACAGTAAGTCTGTAGTACCTCGGAATGCCCTGTAAATCTATAGTGCCGCGGAGTAGGAATCGATTATTTTTGGAATGAAGGATCAGTACGATCAGTCTGAGTACTTAAGAAATCAGAAAGAGGCGGTGCAAATAATAAAGATGGGTTTGAGTTAATATGAGAAACAAAAAGGTATGAAAAAAACAACTGGAAGTGTGTTGTGAAATCGATGGGGCGTCGCATTAAGAACAATGGTGGCAGAATTATTTTAATTAAAAGATCAAATACAAAAGGAAATGAAGATGAGGAAAACAACTTGAAAGTAAATATAATTTAAAAGTAAGTTTGCATTAAAAATAAATAAAAGATATCTTTAAAGGCTTTAGACTTTAGCCAACGTGAAACTAAGTTTATATAAGTGTGTGACCACATTTTAATTGTTGTTGATTTTTTATATTTTTATTTATCCGTACTTTTGGCGCAGTAGAAAAGTTCATAAAAGACTTGCTTGTATTTTGAACTCATCTTTAAATAAATCAAAATACTTATACTTGAGTTGATGGCCTCCATTGAAAAGCCGAAAAAGACCATGACGTAAGCTAAGTTCCGAAACTGACCGGCAACTCCGAACTCTGGGCGAATCATCGTGCCCAGAAACATAATCGTATTCGGTGTGAAGCATACTATAAAGACAACAGAGATGGTAATGACCATTTTTATGACCTTGTTGTCTCGAGTCGAAGCTGTGGTCATCTTGTCTGCAGCAACCGACATGTGACGCCATTTTGTTTTTCTGTTCAGTTTAGTGACGAGGACCGCGGTAAAAATGGATACACTCAAAAAAGAAATGTAACCGAATGCATCGTTTGTGGCAAGTGTGTATCTTTGCACAACTTCTCTATTCGGAGCGTACACGATACTGATGAGGGTTCGATTCCTTGCGCTGTTGAACTTTTCCTGGAGCCAGTAGACTGTGAAGATGGGGCTGGTGCTGGCGAACATGACGAGGAAGATGCCAACAATGATAAAGCTGGTTCTCTTTGGTGTAAGTATGATTTTAACCTTCAGGGGCATGGCCACACACAGACATCGTTCAAACGTGATGTAAGCTGTAATCATGCTGGTAATACGAGCGAAGCAGACGTGCGGCCACCCCGCTGTGACGTGTTCGATTTCTGATGGGTCAAACGGAAGGTCCAGCTGTTGGAACAGAGGGTTAAAGCAAATGTTTTCCCATTGGAGAGTCAGCAAACTGCCCAGGTCAGAGACACTGAGACCAAACAAGCTGATGTTGACCGTATCCTGAAAGCCTTGTTTGTAGAATACAATCACATTAATGATGTTGCTGATGACTCCAGCAAGTCCAATGATTTCGCTGATGATGCAATTGTTGATGGTCACAAATAGCTGTGTTGTGTAATCGTCTACGTACCCAAAAAAATTCCTGTAGTCATCTTCAGTTGTGTCATTGGAGGTCATTTTAAATTCAACGCAATTTTTAAAATATATTTACTATGCAGTATGAAGCTCACGTAAAAAGTGATAAATGTGTGCAGCGTTTGTGCTATAATAAAGCCTATATGTGGATAGATCTGCGAAAGTTCTCATGCATGAGATGATTAAAAAATGCACATTTTTATGATGTTCTATTTATAGGCCTCTGATATAATGCTCAGAAATGTATTAAAAGTGGAAATTAACCAAAACCTAAACGTTTTTTCTAATGACGCCATCAATAATGTAGGCTAATTATTTGTATCGATCCAGTTTTTAGTGCAAACTAACCGAGCCCGAACAAGTTTAAAACTTAATTGTCTATTTAAATAATCGCTCATCAAATATAAGTCATAAAACATCATTAAAAAGCGTTCACTTATTTATAATTACTCTCTAATTATAAACCATTTCACGTTGCCTGGTGTTACATACATACAAATATTTATCTTCGTACTGTGAACTGGGTCCGCCCAGATTACTGTTC